CCCCAAAACCCCAAAACCCCAAAACCCCAAAAATAATTTAATATATTGAAATTATAAATGAACTTAAGCATAAAAGAGCCAAAGTTTGACCTCGTCTTCCCTGAAGTTAACTGTAAGCATAAAAGTAGATATGGATGTGTATCAACAGGTGCCAAAAGATGCCTGTTGTTTTGTAGTGTAAATACAGTCCTAGTTGAGTACCAAATTGATTGTTTTAGATGTCTAGAGAGCTCGAAGGACTACTTACAGAGATTTAATGGAATTTCTTTAGCCTTAATTCATATTTAAATTTTTGAAATCTCTAATGCGCAAATTATAGTTTCAAGTCGGAAGAAGACATCGCTTCCATTCAGGAACCTCTCACCATTTGTATCACAAAAAGCTTTTGCTACCCCTCAAAATTTATCCCATCTCCAAAGCCATGGAAATTCCTTGCAGAATGTTACATTTCGTGTCCCCAAAACTCGACTCAAAAACCCCAAAAATCACATCTATAAAAACCAGGCCAAACAGCCCATCTTGGAGCCCTCTCCCTCAATCCAAGATCTCACCCAGGCTAAAATATACACAGAGTATTTGCCCTCTAAAAATCCAGATTTCTCATCCAAAAATAAGAAAAGCACCCCTACCACGACCACCGGTCTCTTCCAAAACCACCACGTACAGCTCTACAACAAGATTAACCGGTTAAGCCCCTTACAGATATAAAAGAAGGTTCAGGTAATTCCAAAGGCTTCATGGGTTAATTTCTTAGAGAATTAACTGACAATTATAAGGGGTTTTGGGAGGCCCAAGCTGGGCTTTAGCCGATAAAATATCATAACCAGGGACTGGAGACACAACTTAATGTGCCACAAACATTCCTGCTGCGTATCAGGGGGTTCTAGATGTATATTACTGTCTTTCAGATTAAGCTTAGAGCCAAGGCAGTGCCATGACTGTATTATTTAGCAGTAGTCATAAATAAGCTCATACAGACTTAGTTTAATAAAATTTTAGCAAAATTATTAAAACATAAAGAATTCTACGTAATCTCAACACGATAGTATTTATCATGGAAGGCTTTCGTATAGACTAAACTACGAAATATTCCTTAGAAAAATTACTTTTAGAGCGATAACAAATATTCACCATATTTTAGTGTACAAAGAATTAAATTAAACTTGTTAATAACCTGAATAAATTATTCTTGCTTAAGCTTAGCTCATATCGTAAGCTAAGAAGTGGCTTCTATTGTAGCTTTTAAAAGAGTGCCACTATAAGTATTATTATCGTACTTATACAGCAAGACAGTCCTTGATTTGTTAAAATTTATAAGACCTCTGTTAAATTAGAGCTACATGGCCAGTCTATGAGCTCTTACTAAATATGTAACAATGACACTTCCTTGCTTTGACGTTCAGTCTAAAAGATAATTCATGACATCTGGAGAGCTTGGAGCTGCAAAAGTTTTACTTGCGCAACATTATTAAGTATAACCTGCAAAGGGGTGGCATATTAATTAGTTTTGAAATCAATTTGGCATTCTGAACCACTGATATTATTCGATGTTTTAGAATTTATCAATCTCTTTGTTCCCATTGCGAAAATTTAACTACATTATCGCTTAATATTGATAAATTTATAGAGACTTTACAGTCAGCAATTGCTAAGACTAAGACAAATCTTAGACTACCGAAAATTGAATCAATTTCATTGGTATTTTTTACCTAACTTTAGACGAAAGAAGCCAAATCTTCCAAAGGTAGAAGTCTTAATAGGACCAAAGATTGGGCTGACAGACCATTCGAGGTCTTCACTGGAGGAAGTCATAGTGTCCTTGAGGTATGACAAGGTGGATTATGTCTAGTTTGGTGATGGATTTGGCACTAAGATTAAAATATCGGACCAAATTCCCGGAATCAAGAGTCTTAAACGTAAGATCATGAGGTCAAAGTTTGTTAAAATTCCTAAAACTGGTAGGCATAATCCTTGTGATAATTATTAGATAAAGAAACAGCCAAGAAGAAAAAGCTGAAAATCACTTTAAAACCGTATTCTAAGTGGGAAAATAATCCACCATCTGCACTTAAAATGGCTCCTAAATTTGAAAAATAATCGGTACCAAAAGCGTCAGTCCAAAAAGAACCCAACAAATGTTTCTATTGACAGTAAAATAGAGAGTAAATTCTTTCTCACCATTAGAAATTAGCAAAAAGAAGATCTTATTCAATAAACTAGCCGAATCAGAGACTTCTCTGCGGAGACAAGGGAGCTCAGATTACTCCCAGTTGTCAAACTCAGAACAAGAGATCATCATCCAGCCTATTGTGAAGATAAATTATAAGTAATCAGCCCTTCCTTAATAGAAAGGGGTTTTGGGGTTTTGGGGTTTTGGGGTTTTGGGG